GGAACAGGGGGTGGTGGATGGAACAGGGGTGGTGATGGAACAGGGGTGGTGGAACAGGGGTGGATGGAACAGGGGTGGTGGTGGTGGAACAGGGGATGAACAGGGGGTGGTGGATGGAACAGGGGGTGGTGGTGGAACAGGGGTGGTGATGGAACAGGGGTGGTGGTGGAACAGGGAAGGTGATGGAACAGGGGGTGGTGGTGGAACAGGGGTGGTGGTGGAACAGGGGGTGGTGGTGGAACAGGGGTGGTGGATGGAACAGGGGTGGTGGTGGAACAGGGGTGGTGATGGAACAGGGGTGGTGGATGGAACAGGGGGTGGTGGTGGAACAGGGGTGGTGATGGAACAGGTGTGATGGAACAGGGGTGGTGATGGAACAGGGGTGGTGATGGAACAGGGGTGGTGATGGAACAGGGGGTGGTGGTGGAACAGGGGGTGGTGGTGAACAGGGTGGTGATGGAACAGGGGGTGGTGATGGAACAGGGGGTGGTGGTGGAACAGGGGTGGTGGATGGAACAGGGGTGGTGGTGGAACAGGGGTGGTGATGGAACAGGGGTGGTGGTGGAACAGGGGAAGGTGATGGAACAGGGGTGGTGATGGAACAGGGTGGTGGTGGAACAGGGGTGGTGATGGAACAGGGGTGGTGGTGGAACAGGAAGGTGATGGAACAGGGGTGGTGGTGGAACAGGGGTGGTGGTGAACAGGGGTGGTGGTGGAACAGGGGGTGGTGGAACAGGGAAGGTGGATGGAACAGGGGTGGTGGTGGAACAGGGTGGTGGTGGAACAGGGGGTGGTGATGGAACAGGGGTGGTGATGGAACAGGGGGTGGTGGATGGAACAGGGGTGGTGGTGGAACAGGGGGGGTGGTGATGGAACAGGGGTGGTGGTGGAACAGGGAAGGTGATGGAACAGGGGTGGTGGTGGAACAGGGGGTGGTGGTGGAACAGGGGGTGGTGGTGGAACAGGGGTGGTGATGGAACAGGTGGTGGTGGAACAGGGGGTGGTGATGGAACAGGGGGTGGTGATGGAACAGGGGGTGGTGGTGGAACAGGGGGTGGTGATGGAACAGGGGTGGTGATGGAACAGGGGGTGGTGGATGGAACAGGGGTGGTGATGGAACAGGGGTGGTGATGGAACAGGGGGTGGTGGTGGAACAGGGTGGTGGTGGAACAGGGGGTGGTGATGGAACAGGGGGGGGATGGAACAGGGGGTGGTGGAACAGGGGTGGTGATGGAACAGGGGTGGTGGTGGAACAGGGGTGGTGATGGAACAGGGGTGGTGGTGGAACAGGGAGGTGATGGAACAGGGGTGGTGATGGAACAGGGGTGGTGGTGGGAACAGGGGTGGTGGATGGAACAGGGGGTGTGGTGGAACAGGGGAAGGTGATGGAACAGGGGGTGGTGGTGGAACAGGTGGTGGGAACAGGGGGTGGTGGTGGAACAGGGGTGGTGGTGGAACAGGGAAGGTGATGGAACAGGGGTGGTGGAACAGGGGTGGTGGTGGAACAGGGGGTGGTGATGGAACAGGGGTGGGGATGGAACAGGGGGTGGTGATGAACAGGGGTGGTGGTGGAACAGGGTGGTGGATGGAACAGGGGGTGGTGGTGGAACAGGGAAGGTGGATGGAACAGGGGGTGGTGGTGGAACAGGGGTGGTGGTGGAACAGGGGTGGTGGTGGAACAGGGGTGGTGGTGGAACAGGGAAGGTGATGGAACAGGGGGTGGTGGTGGAACAGGGGTGGTGGTGGAACAGGGAAGGATGGAACAGGGGTGGTGGTGGAACAGGGGTGGTGGTGGAACAGGGGTGGTGGTGGAACAGGGGTGGTGGTGGAACAGGGAAGGTGATGGAACAGGGGTGGTGGTGAACAGGTGGTGGTGGAACAGGGGGTGGTGGTGGAACAGGGGGTGGTGGTGGAACAGGGAAGGTGATGGAACAGGGGTGGTGGTGAACAGGGTGGTGGTGGAACAGGGTGGTGGTGGAACAGGGGGTGGTGGTGGAACAGGGGGTGGTGGAGGGTGGTGAACAGGGGTGGTGGTGGAACAGGGGTGGTGGTGGAACAGGGGGTGGTGGTGGAACAGGGGGTGGATGGAACAGGGGTGGTGTGAACAGGGGGTGGTGGATGAACAGGGTGGTGATGGAACAGGGGTGGTGATGGAACAGGGGGTGGTGATGGAACAGGGGGTGGTGATGGAACAGGGGTGGTGGATGGAACAGGGGTGGTGATGGAACAGGGGTGGTGGATGGAACAGGGGTGATGGTGGAACAGGGGTGGTGATGGAACAGGGGTGATGGAACAGGTGGTGATGGAACAGGGGGTGGTGATGGAACAGGGGTGATGGTGGAACAGGGGTGGTGGTGGAACAGGGGTGGTGATGGAACAGGGGTGGTGATGGAACAGGGGGTGATGGTGGAACAGGGGTGGTGGTGGAACAGGGGTGGTGGATGAACAGGGGTGATGGTGGAACAGGGGTGGTGATGGAACAGGGGTGGTGGATGGAACAGGGGTGGTGGATGGAACAGGGGGTGGTGGATGGAACAGGGGGTGGTGGATGGAACAGGGGGTGATGGTGGAACAGGGGTGGTGGTGAACAGGGGTGGTGATGGAACAGGGGTGGTGATGGAACAGGGGTGGTGATGGAACAGGGGGGGAGGTGGAACAGGGGTGGTGATGGAACAGGGGGTGGTGGGATCAGGGGTGATGGAACAGGGGGTGATGGTGGAACAGGGGTGTGGTGGAACAGGGGGTGGTGATGGAACAGGGGTGATGGTGGAACAGGGTGGTGGTGGAACAGGTGGTGATGGAACAGGGGTGGTGGAAACAGGGGGTGGTGATGGAACAGGGTGGATGGAACAGGGGGTGGTGGATGGAACAGGGGGTGGTGGTGGAACAGGGGTGGTGGTGAACAGGGGTGGTGGATGGAACAGGGGTGGTGATGGAACAGGGGGTGGTGGATGGAACAGGGGTGGTGGGATGGAACAGGGGTGGTGATGGAACAGGGGTGGTGATGGAACAGGGGTGGTGGGATGGAACAGGGGTGGTGATGGAACAGGGGGTGGTGATGGAACAGGGGTGGTGATGGAACAGGGGTGGTGATGGAACAGGGGTGGTGGTGAACAGGGGTGGTGGTGGAACAGGGGTGGTGATGGAACAGGGGGTGGTGGATGGAACAGGGGTGGTGGTGGAACAGGGGTGGTGGTGAACAGGGGTGGTGATGGAACAGGGTGGTGGTGGTGGAAGGTGGTGGTGAGGGGGAGGGTGGGTGGAACAGGGGTGGTATGGAACAGGGGGTGGTGATGGAACAGGGGTGGAGGAACAGGGGTGGTGGTGGAACAGGGGTGGTGGTGGAACAGGGGTGGTGATGGAACAGGGGTGGTGGTGGAACAGGGGTGGTGGATGGAACAGGGTGGTGGTGGAACAGGGGTGGTGGTGGAACAGGTGGTGATGGAACAGGGGGTGGTGGATGGAACAGGGGGGATGGAACAGGGTGGTGGTGGAACAGGGGTGGTGATGGAACAGGGGTGGTGGTGGAACAGGGGTGGTGGTGAACAGGGGTGGTGATGGAACAGGGGTGGTGATGGAACAGGGGGTGATGAACAGGGGTGGTGGTGGAACAGGGGTGGTGATGGAACAGGGGTGATGGTGAACAGGGGTGGTGGAACAAGGGGTGGTGATGGAACAGGGTGGTGGTGGAACAGGTGGTGATGGAACAGGGGGTGATGGTGGAACAGGGGTGGTGGAACAAGGGTGGTGATGGAACAGGGTGGTGATGGAACAGGGGGTGGTGGTGGAACAGGGGTGGTGGATCAGAGAGAGAGAGTGTACAACGAAACTCACAAGAATTCAAAAGCTATTTCCTGAATCTCTCTCTCACACACACAGCCACCAGGCTACCCTAAAAGACAATCACAAGAGGTGTATGAACTGTGACGCGATGTGATGTGGTCGCCAATACACAAACAAACAAACAAACAAACAAACAAATTCCTTTCTTGACTTGAAGCCGCCACGACAACAATCCCCCATCTCCCACTCAAATATGCCGAAGGTTGAGGATGTGATTTTATTTACCCGCATCGCCACAACTACCACCACCACAACCACCACCACCACAACAACCACCACCACCATCACAACAACCACCACCACCACCACCACCACCACAACAACCATCACCACCACAACAACAACCACCATCACAACAACCACCACCATTACTACCACCATCAGGGCCCACGAGCCAGCCAAAACAAACACGGTTTTCCACTTTTTTTTAATTTACCAGGATTATATAATAATTTTAACACTGATAAAACCCGTGATAAAATTTTGATATTTCCACTAAAAAAAAAAACATTTCCATTGATTAAACAATTATAATGTTCTAAAAAAGTATTTAAAATTTTTCTCTATATATATTTTTATTATAGGATTTTTTATACACTAAGGAAAAATAATAATAATAATGTAGACTTTTAAAGACAATATAAACTCTATGTAATATATCTATAATTAATAACTATACTGCGTCTATATTACTGTAATACTAAGAACAGAGGTGTAATTGTTTGTTATTTTCCAAGCTATTTAGGACACACTTAACTTCCTCACTCCAAATGGCGTCGAACTTGGGTTGAAACTCGACCTAGATTGAGGAAAACACATAAGGAGTATTTGTGAATTAACTTAACTTAAAGAGGAAAGAGGAAGACGTGGAGGACAAAAGAAGAGGAAGGAGAGCAAATAAGAGGAGGTAGAGAAAATAAGAGGGAGAGAAAAGAGGAGGGAGAGAAAATAAGAGAAAGAAGGAGATAAAATATGAGGAGAAAGAGGAAGATGAAAGAAGAGGAGGAGGAGAAGAGAAGATGTGAGTGAAAAAAAGAACAAGAAGAACAAGAACAAAAACAAGAACACGCATAAGACGTAGAACAATAAAACGAATAAGAAAACAAAGAAAAAGAAGCAGAAGAACAAGAAGAACAAAGAAGAGGTCGTGTACTCACCTTGGTAAGGAGTGAGGGCAACATATGATAAACACCTCCCTTAGTCACCCCGCGCCACCTGTAACAACAACAAGACGAGGTGTCAGGTATTACTCCAAGGTAACAATAATACACAGGCACTTAGCACATATGTTTACCCATGACATAATCACACCACTTACCCAGAGGAGGGAAGAGGAGGGAGAGGAGAGGAGAGGAGAGGAGAGGAGAGGAGAGGAGAGGAGAGGAGAGGAGTGGTGTAGTCTTTCGTTATTATTGGATAAAATTAGCAGAACTTTAAGTGATGGTGATTGAGGTGGTGGTGGTGATTGTAGTTGTGGTGGTGATTGTAGTTGTGATGGTGATTGTGGTGGTAGTGATGGGGGAAGAAGAGAAGTCACGCAGGGAGGAGGTGTTGGTGAAGAGGAACAGAATGACTCCCTCAACACACCCAGTACCACTTCCTCTTTCCCTCCTTCAGGAAATGGACATAATTATTGATGTTTTCCTCTCGCTAAATACCTCGTACGACCTGCCTGCTGGTGTCATGCGTCACCCGCAACACGACAACCTGTTCCCCAACCTCCTCCTCCTCCCCCTCCGGCAGGCACACCGTCTTGCACATGTCGTTACCAGTGTCGCGGTGAGGCAGGAGCGAGGCGGGACTGGGCAGGGGCGGGCAGAGCCAAGTAGGTCAGGAGTAGGGTGGGGTGGGGTGGTTGAGCCACGTTCTCTATGTCACTAATAACACAACACTACCACAGTCCCTCGTGGGGTGTAAACTGTCTAGTTATTTACGTCACGACTCCTGCAGTGCCGACCCCTTGCCCGCCCTCCACACACACACACACACACATCATAGTCTCTCTCGACCACAATAAACATCCCACAAAGCATCACACGACATACAGTATACACCTTTGAGATGATGACAGATGAAGGCGAGGAGAGAACAGGATCTTAGGGTCAATAAATAAACATGTGATGGTGTGGTTAGGTTATCCTTGGTCAAATAGATTTACTGTTTGCCATTGTTTGTGTACCTGCACTGTCTAGGTGTGTGTGTACGCCAAGAACACGCACACATCAATATATTTACACACACACACACATACAGGTAGCAGCCAAATATAAGGGTAAGTACCTATATGTAGCTACACAGACGAGAGAGAGAGAGAGAGAGAGAGAGAGAGAGAGAGAGAGAGAGAGGAGAATATATTGAACCAGCATCACACACAGGTCTCCGGAGGGCAGGCGGAGGCAACAGGACAGACGGACCATCCATCTTGCGACTCATCCACCAGCAACACAACTCATCCACCAACAACACAACTCATCCACCAACAACACAACATCCACCAGCAATACAACTCATCCACCAACAACACAATTCATCCACCAGCAATACAACTCATCCACCAACAACACAACTCATCCACCAACAACAGAACTCATCCACCAACAACACAACTATTACCAGCAACAGAACTCATCCACCAACAACACAACTCATCCACCAGCAACAGAACTCATCCACCAACAACAGAACTCATCCACCAACAACACAACTCATCCACCAGCAACACTTAAACAATTTTACTATCATATCCAAGGACAAGACAAGCGAACACATTTTTACGTGACATTCCTTTAAAACATTATTTCTTTTCCCACCTTCCTATCTCGCTCTAACCAACACTAATGACACAACCCAGCCTGAGGCAACACTCTCCAGCCCTCCTCACTACTACAATCATTACTATTACTACTACTACTACAAAAACTACTACTACCGCCACTACTACTACTACTATACCACCGCTACCGCCATCATTACTACTATTATTACTACCCTACCACCACCACTACTATTAATATTACTACCAACAATACCACCACTATTACTACCACCGCCATTACTACCACACACACACCAAGTTGTTGTTGTCTTTCCAATGTAGTTTTCCCACCACGGTTCTGTTATCACGAGCCACCTCACACTGTATCGCCTGATGACACAAACTCCCGGAAAATTAAAACAAAATAATAATATATATATATTTTTTTAAATATAGACAAGAGGATCCTCAGGTAAAAAGCCTTAGCGGAATAGTAAATAGGCCGCCCCTCTTACCTGTACTTCAGTAAAACGACACAGGAGTTGGCTTATGAGAGAGAGAGAGAGAGAGAGAAGATTTCACAATCACCAATCTTCACTCTGAAGTCATGCCCGAAATACCTGACCTTTAACAGGGTATTGGGGCATGAGTCGAGCGGGAGGGACAAAAAAAGGCGATCTTATTAGGAAATAACCCAAGGTAGGTAATTTTCGGGGATGGTCACAATTTTTCTCCTCCTCCTCACCTCATCTCACCCACCCCAATCTCACTAGCCTCACCCCAACCTCTCCCTGCATCTCCACTCCCCACCCCACCATCCCAGGTCGATATTTCCCTTCACCTCATCGGAAATTGAATCGAGGAAACAACCGAGTGATTCTGACCTATTGTATAATTACTAGTGGTGAGGTAACTACTTTGATGTTTGGAGGGGTGATGAGGGAGGGAAGGTGTGGGTGGTGAGGGAGGGAAGGTGGGGGTGAGGAGGGGAAGGTGTGTGGGGTGAGGAGGGAAGGTGTGGGGGTGAGGGAGGGAAGGTGTGTGGGGGTGAGGAGGGAAGGTGGTGGGTGAGGGAGGAAGGTGGGGGGTGAGGGGAGGAAGGTGTGGAGGGAGGGAAAGGTGGGGGTGAGGGAGGGAAGGTGTGGGAGGGAGGGAAGTGTGGGGTGAGGAGGGAAGGTGGGTGAGGAGGGAAAGGTGGTGGTGAGGGGGAAGGTGGGATGTGAGGGAGGGAAGGTGTGTGGGGTGAGGGAGGGAAGGTGGGTGATGAGGGAGGGAAGGTGTGGGGTGAGGAGGGAAGGGGGGGAAGGTGTGGGGGTGAGGAGGAAGATGGGAGGGAGGGAAGGTGTGTGGTGAGGGAGGAAGGTGTGTGGGGTGAGGAGGGTGTGGGTGAGGGAGGGAAGGTGTGTGGGGTGAGGGAGGGAGGTGGGTGGTGAGGAGGAAGGTGTGTGGGGTGAGGGAGGGAAGGTGTGGGGTGAGGGAGGGAAAGTGGTGGTGAGGAGGGAAGGTGGTGGGTGAGGGAGGGAAGGTGTGTGGGGTGAGGGAGGGAAGGTGTGTGGGGGTGAGGAGGGAAGGTGTGGGGTGAGGAGGGAAGGTGTGTGGGGTGAGGGAGGGAAGGTGTGGGTGGGGTGAGGGAGGAAGGTGTGGGGTGAGGAGGGAAGGTGTGTGGGTGAGGGAGGAAGGTGTGTGGGGTGAGGGAGGGAAGGTGTGTGGGGTGAGGAGGGAAGGTGTGGGGGTGAGGGAGGGAAAGGTGGGGGTGAGGGAGGGAAAGGTAGGTGGTGAGGGAGGGAAAGGTAGGTGGTGAGGGAGGGAAGGTGTGGGTGGTGAGGAGGGAAGGTGTGGTGGTGAGGAGGGAAGGTGTGTGGGGTGAGGGAGGGAAGGTGTGGTGAGGGGTGAGGGAGGAAGGTGTGGGGTGAGGGAGGGAAGGTGGGTGGGGAGGAAGGTGGTGGTGAGGAGGAAGGTAGGTGGTGAGGAGGGAAGGTGTGGGTGATGAGGAGGGAAGGTGTGGGGGTGAGGGAGGGAAGGTGGGTGGTGAGGGGAGGGAAGGTGGGGGTGAAGGAGGGAAAGGTAAGGGTGAGGAGGGAAGGGTCGGTGGTGAGGAACGAGGAAGGAGTACTGAGGGAAAAGAGGAGGGGTGATGAGGGATTAAAGGAGGAGGGGGAGGGAAAGAGGGAGGGGGAGGGAGGAGCTGTATCTACTCTTAACACTCACTGTGTTATGACTGTGTCCTCCTGTTTACTAATTTGTTTTGACTGGTGTGTGTGTGTGTGCGTTACCTGACTAATCTGACTTTGAGGGTGAGGTGATGCTAGGTGAGGTGGTGCTAGGTGAGGTGATGCTAGGTGTGGTGGGTGCTAGGTGAGGTGGTGCTAGGGTGAGGTGATGCTAGGTGAGGTGATGCTAGGTGAGGTGATGCTAGGTGTGGTGGTGCTAGGTGAGGCGGTGCGGTGAGGTGGTGCTAGGTGAGGTGATGCTAGGTGAGGTGGTGCTAGGTGAGGTGATGCTAGGTGAGGTAGGTGCGATAACTTATTATTTTCATTCCTTGTCTGTGAAAACTGAAGTAAAATGCAAGCTTTTGTAGTCGAGCAGCAATTTTAGGACAATATATAATACTAAAATAGCTAAGTTCTGTAAGACAAGTTTGTAGATATGAGTACAAAAATATCATGAATAAGGTAGGTTAGGTTAGGTTAGGTTAGGTGTCAATAGCAAGTGATGAGAGGAGGGCGACGACACGGGGTGAAGGTCACACCTGCCACACACACACAACACACACACACACACACACACGTTGATATATTTACCGTTTGATAGCTGGATACCCCCCAAGCCATGTTCTCTACCACTTATCACTTTACCCGAAGCTTACCTGGAATTAGTAACGGTGGACGTGTCTCTTGCACCCCACCCCGAGACATGCAACAGAATTTACAAAGTCGTTTGGTTGAGAATATGGATGTTTTCAGAGCTCTGGTTATCCTCCAAAGCCTTCGAAAATATATCAGACAGTTACATTCGGTACACAACAGCATACAAGAGACATGAGGGTTAAAATCCAATGTACCGTGGATGAGTTATCGGCTCCACACACTCCCTGACACACGCACGGACACACCACCTTCATTTTAAAGCTCTCAGTTATATTCACACATCTCTTTTATCTTTACAAGCTACAGGTTGAAGAGTCGTTTGTTGTCATATCAGGTGGGTCAAAGTTTGGCTTCATGCTGTTGTTGCGTGGCGAGGTGTGTGTGTGTGTGTGTGTGTGTATTCATATTGAAGCAAGTGCCCTCGAAGAATCACATGTCTAGTCAGGTTCGAACTCTGGCACTCAAACATATACAATATCCACATGCCAACATCACCGTCCCCACATGCCAACATCCCCACATGCCCAACATCACCCACATGCCAACATAAACCAACTCGTGTTAACAGGGCAGACAACAACAACTTGATGGTG